GTTGTGGGCATAGGCCATATATTGTAATTTTGGAGGAAAATTATGCCAGCCTATATATCAAGCATGCAAATGTCTTCAAAATGAATGGATCAAAATTAAGCACACCTTTGACAAATAACACTGTTGCTGTTAACTGCATAATGCAGTAAGTTGTGGTAACTGGCTGCAAATATAGGCTTTCGAAATGCCAAGTTCCAAGTTTAACTTGATGACGGCCAAGTTCAACAAGCCAGATCATCAAAATGAAAATATCTATCACCACGGAACTGCCATAACCACTAAAAAGTCTACCGATCTGCTCAGCGCCCATTCGTACAAAACATCGCGAACAAACGTGGCCTTGATCCTTACGTAGTTTGAGCGCCGAAGGCCACACACAATGTAACGTCTGCACACCGCCCGCAGCCGCAATGCTCCCGCAACACTATCACGACGAGCACAACACAACCCAACCACTCAACATCACCCGCCCACAATCATCTGCCAGATGTATCGACTGCGCAGTTCTCGTCTACTTCGGTGCTGAAACCTGAATGAACGCAACCGCTAAATCGAAACAAGTGCAGCATATGCGCGATCACGATGGGAATCCCATGAGCGCTAGAATTCCAGGACTGGGAAGAAATTAATGTTCTGTGGAACACGCTTTAGCCTAAAACCCACTTTGAATCTAAATCAGTAGCAAACATGAACTACTCAGGGCCACCTTGGATAATGCAGTACGGCATTAGTGTGAATCTGAGTTGGCAGCGTGGACAGGCACGCTGACCGGGCTGAGTTGACCGAGACAGCCTGCTGCCAGCATGCGCCGCGAGAAGCACTGAACGGTGGCGGGTTGGAGCGCAAAGTACTTGTTTTGGAAAGAGCAAGGTACTGCTGTCAGCATTTTCACGTGGTGCTTTCATCACCAACAGGTCGCGGCAACTCTGCTGTCGTTGGTGGCAGTCCCCATCACAGCGACCTTTCACACCAAAGATGTGCTCGACCTCACAGCGACCAAGCCGCTGCCGGCGTGACCTATGACCACAAGGACCGCCATTACGCCGAGAACAAGGGCGGTTCCGACTGCGAGCCAATCACGAGCGACCCGGGTCTGGGCGCCGGGCTGGCCGACGGCGGCGGGGCCGAGCCCTGCCGCCTGCTCGACGACAGTCCCGGCGTGCGCCGCCTCCGGCCCGCGCCGGCAGAACCCGCTAGAGGCGCTGCCGGCGGCGGCGAACGTCAGCCAGCTGGCTCCGCTGCCGGTCGGCGGCCGCATCCGCGACCCGTTCCTCCCCAGCGACACGGCGGTGCTGGGCTCCCACGCCAGGAAGGTCAACGTCACCCGGCTGCTGACGGAGCAGCGGCTGGAGGCGCAGCTCCTGGCTGAGGGCCGGGTGCCACAGCCCAACTCAGCCGCCTACAAGCAGATGTTGAACGCGCTCTCCACGGACGAGGCTCAGGAGCTCGGCCGCGCCGGCCTCCGGCAATCACTCACGCTGTGCGGCTGCAGCGGCTTCCGGGACAACAGCACCGGTAACGTGACACAGAGAGCGGACAGGAGCCCGCATCCAGCGGTCCACCTGCCGTACTGCGAGCCGGAGCCTGTCCCACACTGCCAGAGGAGCAGGCCGTTCCGCACCAGCGACGGAGAGTGTAACAACCTGATGGTGAGCGGTTCGGGTAGAGGCGTCGGCACAGAATACGGTCTTACATGCGCCGTCGATCGTGTTCAGGAAGTTACAAACAGTAAGCCCGTTGTGAAGGTCTCTTCTGATGTGGTCTTGTGTCACGATTATGGAAATACGTAGCTATTAACGGTTTTCGTGGACAAGACTTCCTTTACAGAATCCACCCGTGATCCATTTCTGATCAGCTGGCCCAGCAGTTTCCAGCACGCATGCATCTGTTGTCACTGCATTTAAGTTTTTAATTATGCCAAATTCAAAAAATGTTGCGACCAAAGTTCACATTTCTAATTTATGACTGCAAACGTACTGTGAATAGATATAGCTACGACTTAAAGCAATGCAAGCTGCCACATTGTATAGACATTCTCGATGTACATGTTCGGTATCTCGCGAACATTTTATCCATGCACGTACCTATTCCCGACATTTTACTGATTCCCGTATTACTCGCCCTTCCTGCTAGGGAGAGCGCAGGCAGCAGACAGGCAGGCAGGCAGGCAGCGCCGTAAAGCCAAATCAACTGAATGCGTTGTAAAACCTCAATGGCGATGATCTGTATCTAGTTATCCGAAACATCCATACCCTATCCAGCCTGTCACCCATTCCATCTGAGTAGCCGTGGGTTCACTTGACACGTGAAGTCCTTTGTAGCTGCGTAAGATTCAAGACATTGGAAAAATATCGGAGTACCCATACTTCACATACATATAATCATACCCATATTCTATTTGACAAGTTGGATATGGTTGTAAGCTTGCTGATGCATTCGCCTTCCAACAATGAGCCACATTGTACGTAGGCTTCATGGCACAGCGCATCTGCTTCCATCACAACCCCCTTTCGCGTGTTTCAGCACCCGCGCTGGGGTCGCGCTCTGACCGGACTCGGTCGCCTGCTGCCCAACACGTACGACGACGGCCTGTTCCGGCCGCGGCGCCGCGCCGCCGGCGGCACAGCCCTGCCCTCGGCGCGCGCCGTCACCGCCGCCGTGCTGCGCGACAGGAGCGCCGAGTCGGACGCGGCGTCCGCTGCCCTGGTGGCGTTCGGCCAGTTCCTCGCGCACGACACCATACAAACGCCTGTGTACCGGATCAACGCGCACACGGGGCTGCAGTGCTGCGGCGCCGACGGCAGCGCGCCGCCCACTCCGCCGGTGCACCCGCAGTGCTTCCCGATCGAGGTGGCGGCCGACGACCCGTTCTACGGCACGCTGGGGCGCCGCTGCCTCAACCTGGTGCGCTCGCTGTTCGCTCCCGACCCCCCTGCGAGGCGCGACCCGCGGCGCAGCTCAACGCGCTCACAGCCTACCTGGACGGCTCGGCGGTGTATGGGGTCGACCACTACGCCGAGCGGCGGCTGCGTGAGGGCCGCGGCGGCCGACTGCGGGAGTACGGCGGCCTGCTGCCGCCCAGGTCCAAGGCCGCGCTGACGTCCACCGCCGTCCGCCGGGACGTCACCGGTGGCCGGCGGCCCGAGCGGGACCCGCGGCTGAGTCCACCGAACAAGGACAACTGCGACGGCGCGGAGTCGCACCGTCGCGCAGTCGACGCCGAGTCGCCGAGTCGCGCCGCACCGTCACACAGTCCCCGGCAATCTCCTGTCGCTACGGAACCGTGGTATCGATCTCAAAGCTGTCCTCAGGACCCGACCATGATGAGCTGGAGTCCTCAGGCCTCCCTCCTGAATCCGCGCCGCCAGCAGCCTGTCTCTCGCCTCCGATCTCCAGCGCGTGTACAGCGAGCCTGACCCTGTACCCGGGCCAAGCACCAGCGGCGGCGGGCGGCGACAGCGCCTGTCACGGGGCTGCGTGGGCTGCATCTGCTTCGACGCAGGTGAAACCGCGTCAACGAGCAGCCGCCGCTGGCACTGCTGCACGTTGTGGTGTGCGCGAGCACAACCGGGTAGCGGCGGCGCTCGTGCGGCGGCACCCGCATGCCGGCGACGAGTGGCTCTTCCAACGGCGCGCAAGGTGACGGTGGCGGAGCTGCAGCACGTCACGCACAACGAGTTCCTGCCGAGCCTGCTGGGGGCTTGACTTCAGCCTGCGACACGGCCTGCTGCCGCTCAGGGAGGGCTTCTCCACCTTCTACGACGTACGAGGTCAGCGCCGAGCCGAGCTGTCCGTCGAGTTCACCACGGCCGCCTTCCGCCACGGCCACTCGCAGGTGCGACAGAACGACTGTGGCTCGCTTCGCGCTCCGGCGCGTAGCCGAGCGCTACCTGGTGCCCGAGCTGTTCGCGCCGTCGCTGCTGCTGGCGCCGGAGCGGCTGGCGCGGCTGGCGCGCGGGCCCCCCCAGCCCCGCGCAGCGTGTGGACGGCAACTCGGAGCGCGCCGTGTTCGGCGACCTCTTCCGCAGCCAGCAGCCGTCCGGCCTGGACCTGCCGGCCCTGAACGTGCAGCGCGGACCACGGCCTCGCCCGTACGTGGACGCGGTGGCGCTGTGCCTGGGCCTGCGGCTGACCACCTGGTACAGCCTGCGGCAGCTGATCCCGGAGGAGGACGTGACGCGCCTGCGCACGGTCTACAGCAGTCCGCGGGACGTCGACCTCTACATCGGCGGCTCCTGGAGCGCCACGCGACCGCGCGCAGGTCGGTCCCACGTTCCAGTGCATCATCGGGCGACGCCTTCTTCCGCCTGCGCTTCGGCGACCGGTTTTTTCTACGACAACGGCGAGCTGGTGCACAGCTTCTCGCCCGTGCAGCTGCGCGAGGTGGTGCGCCACACGAGCCTGGCGGGTGCTGCTGTGTGACACGCTCGGGCCGCTGTTGCCTCACGTGACGCCGCTGGCGTTCAGCCTGCCTTCGGCGAGACCAATCCGGCGGTCAAGTGTGACTCGCTTGCCGTGCCGGAGGTCGACTTGAGCGTGTTTCTGAGCGATGCTTTCGCCTGCCGTGCCGGAGGTCGAAATGAGAGTGTTCTGAGCGATGTGTTCGCCTGTCGTGCTGGAGGTCGACATGTGCATGTTCTGAGCGATGTGTTCGCCTGCCGTGCCGGAGGTTGACCTGAGCGTGTTCTGAGCGATGTGTTTCGCTTCCGTACCGGAGGTCGACCTGAGCGTGTTCTGAGCGAGTGTTTCACCTGCCGTGCCGGAGGGCGACCTGAGCGTTGTTCTGAGCGATGTGTTCGCCTGTCGTGCCGGAGTCGACCTGAGCGTGTTCTGAGCGATGTGTTCACCTGCCATGCCGGAGGTCGACCTGAGCGTATTCTGAGCGATGTGTTCGTTGCCGTGCCGAGGGCGATCTGGGCGTGTTCTGAGCGATGCGCAAGGATTTCTAGCGAGGTGTGAGGTTTTTAAACTGTGAGTGTCACCGTGATGTGACATCGTTGAACTGATCATTTACGCCACGCTGCTTTGGGTATTGGGATTTATGTGTCGCAAATACCTTTGGACATCAATAGATGTCATATGGTGGCAATAGATGTTATTTATGCAAGTCTGGATTACAAAAGGCTTATACGCAAAAATGCGGTTTACGAAATAATACCCCTTTCGGTGACTTTTTGCCAAAACACGCTCAGGCTGAAATCCAGGGAGGTAAAGACCCAACCCTTTTATGGTTCAAAATCATCTTCCGAGCACGGACCACCAGTCAGGAAAATAAGTGAATATTTTCATATAAAAAGTCGCCGACCAGGCCTTAACGTGCAGGGCTCACCATGGCCGATTACTATGCGAACGTGATATGTGTCTTGATGTGTGATGTGTGCTTGCTTACAATCGCTCATGCGTGTAATAGTGACCCTAAACACGTGATCCACATGTCTGTTTAATTGAAATCATTTGAATGTTAAGTGAACGGCCGCCAGAGCAGGCTCCTGGAGCTGGAGTCGGAGTCAGAGCACCTGCGCTCCCAGCTGGACGCGCGCGTGGCCAGCAGCGGGACACGGCCGGCAGCCCGGACGAGCTCCGGACGGTGCTGCGGGACATATTCGCTCGCCTGGGTCTACCGCTGCAGCTCGTGAGTGATAACGGCCCCAGTTTGCTTCAGAGCAATTCGCCATCTTCACAGCAACCAACCGCATCAGACGCATGAAGCGAGCGAATCCAGACTGCTGTCCCCGGCTGGAATGGCGTATTTGGCGCCCGGCTGTCGTGTTAGCTGGTGGAGGCGACACCACAAGTACTGCCCCAGCAGGCTGACATATAGGGCCCCGGCCAGAGCACAGGGCCCTCTGGCAAAGGAAAATTACCGAACGCCAAGTAATGGTTTCATGTCCCTATACGATCAAGAGTATCCGCGTAGGCCAAAAGAAAGGGACCTGACGGGACTGAAAGGTCCTCCGCCAATGAGATCAAATAGAGAGCCCTAGTTCAAAGGATAGAGCTCCGGGCATCGCGTGGCTTGCTACCTTACCTTTCATGAGCCCTAGCAACGGCGCAAGGCCCTCCGAGCAAGTGGAAAGAATCCAACATCAATGTGAAGGGCCCCTGAGCAACGAGTGTACCCTGGGATATGGGACCCCGGAAAAAGCGTGTAAAGCTTTTCGCGCGAATAGGAAGAATCTGTGGAGGAAACTCCGATTTATCAAGAGTGCCAAGGCATATAAGCAGGTCAGGGTGTCCATTTGTATTCTTTTGTGAGCCCCCCCCCCCCCATTGTTGAGTTGGGCTCGTTCAATATGGGCTTGGTCCCCTAGTGTTTTTGGCTTGAATGCTACAAAAAACGTGAAAATGATCATAACACAAATACTATGTTCTTTAATCTTTCCACATAGGGCATCTCGTATCACTCTATAGCTGAAAGTCATGGTTGCTCTCACTCAAGATAAAAATCGTAACACTTGAAGCGGATAAACAATGCAATAAAACTTCACATACCTGGCGCAATGGTTTTGTGAGGTTAAAGTAAAAAGCTCTGGAACATGGAAAAGGCCTAAATCCATCATGGTTAACCCAGTCCCCGTCTCCCACAACCAAACTCCAGTGCCGCCTCCCATGACCGCCATAGGCCGAGCGCTATCGGCCGGCCCTAAGATGGCTTCTAAAGGGGCACCTTTACATGCTGATCAGAAGATTGGACGCGTGCGTCAGTGCCTGCTCCATGGATCCAACCCTGCATGACTTCTGTACTGCTTAAGTTTGAGACTTTTATGACTTATGCGAAGGTTGAAAACCATATTGCGTTTAAACAAAATAAAGTGGGCTAAATTACGGTGAGAAAAAAGTATGGGGGGAGGTAACTTGTCGGGCCTTCGGTTTATCATCCCCCCCCCCCCCCAATAGTTTACAAACATTGACATCCCGAAACAGATAGTTTCAAACAGCAGCGTAGGGCCCTACGAAAAAATGCAAAGATATCAGGGACAATGTGGAAGGCTCCTTAGCGATCTGACTGACCCGGTAAGTGTGCACAATAGGGCCTTGGTTTCAGTCGTATAGGGTCTGGACAAGAACGTAAGGCCTTTGGACAGCGTAATGATGCCCAAAGTTTTCCCCGATTCACACGTTTTTCAATCCGTGAAGACTTAACTTTGTCTGGGAATTGGCTCTTCATTTTCATTTGCAACTATTTTTGGGTCGCCTGTAGCCCAAGGGCATCCGATTTTGCTCTGCTTTGTGTTAAAAAAATGTTTCCGTTCGACCAGCTATGGGGCCCCTCAAAGGTCTATGGCCTCCTTCGGAGCAGAAGGCACAGGGGCAGACATGGGCCCGTGCCTTCGTCCACCCCCCCCCCACCCCCCATCTGTATTCTGCCAGCGGCCTGAGCAGCTTAATTAAATGTTTCCCCTACCAAGAACATAGTCATTCATTCAAATAAGAAGTACGCAACACACGACATGGAGGACCACCCAACGAAAGAGTGTGCCCGAGAGGTTAGCAGATAGGGCCCTCCACTCCAACAAAAAGTACCCAAGAGCTAGTGTGGAGGGCCTCCGAAAGTTCGAGTGTACCAGAACAAGTTATCAATGGGCCCCCTACAGGAGCGTAGGGGTGCAAAGTTCTAATACCCAATATGCAGGGCCTTAAACAATCCAAGTGCCCGAGCAGGTTATGCAGGTGGTCGGCCCAAACAAGCGTGAAGGGCCTTCCATTGAGAATGAAAATGCCAAAGACCAATTTGGAGGGGCCCGAACGACCGAGTGTAACCCAAGCAGTTATCGGCATGGGCCCCCGACACAGCGTAGGGCCTAAGAAAGTGACAGGGAATTAGAAGCACTCTGAACCAATGTAGAGAGTCCATGAGCAAATCCGCGAGTATGTAGTAAGGCTAACCGCGACTAACGTGAAGGGCCCCCGAACAATCGAGAATACCCGGCAGGTTAACATATGGGGTCCCCGGCTGTAGCGTACGGAGCCTTTCGGGCAAATGGGAAGAATTTGTGGAAGGCCGCTGATTGACAAGAACACCCCGGCACAGGATGGCAAGGAAGGGCTCCTAGGTGACAACCCAGAGCCCGCGAGCAATTGCAAAGAAAAGTGAATGCACCGCGGAGAAGGCTCCTAGCGATCGCAATCGACCCAGGCCAGTGGGCATATAGGCCCCGTAGGAAACAGCATAGCGCCTCCGGACAGCGTAATAAAGGCCTGTGATATCACAATCACGACAATCCGCAAAGAGCGAAGTATGGTTTTTCTCTACTGTGGGCAGGTTTACTTTCGTTTGCGACTGTTTTTGTGGCCGCTTGGAGGCCCAGAGGAAGCTCAAATTTTCTTGCGTTCTGGTTTTTAAAAAATATTGATGTTCCCGCCTGCTCCGGGCACCTCCTTCCATCACTAGGCTCCTCTCTGGGCCCAAGGAGAGCCATGACTCTGCCCCTTATGTAGCCTTCCCTGGATCCGTCCCCTAGCTGCTGGGTATAATGCTTAGTCTTTTACCGCTCCCACTTTGCCTTTAACTCACGCTGTCAGGCGCAGCGGGAAATACCGCGCAGAACTCAGAGGCGATGGAACAATGCCCTGAGACTGTTCTCTCTATCTCTCTCAAGTACCACATATTTTATCGGCTGAACCGGTAAGCCAATCAAAAGCCACCTGTTGCCATGCCTGAGACACTTGCGCTTGAGATATGTTACAACACAAACCGGCTAGGCATATGATGCTAATAATCTTTTAAAGTGATAACATAACAGACCAATAAAGCGTTGGTGCAAACCCAGGGTAAACGTTCGTGTAGCGTGGTGCCTTGCCACTTCGTCTTTGGACCAAGCCGCAGCGACACGGGAAGATTGCATTGCTGCCCCCTCTGCAGGCCAGCTTTTCCGCTCGCCAGCTCGGAGGGATCCACTGCTTCTTTGACGAAAAGTACCCGCAGTACTCGCTGGTAGCCCTTCTCGTCCTTTTCCGACCCGATTGCCGTCGACAGGATATTTCGCCATCGTTTGTTTCAGTCTGGGACATTAGGTGGACGTCGGCTGGAGTGCGGAGGTAGGTCGGCTGGAGAGGAGGGGGGGGGGGGGGGGGGTACGTCGGCTGAAGTACGGACGAACGTGGCTGAACGGCGGGCGAAGGTCGGCTAGAGAGCGGGGAACGACGGTTAGAGAGCTAACGAAAAGCCGGTCGGCGAGCGGGCGAACAGTCGCTTGAGAGCCGGCGAAAGTCGACTGAAGAGCGAGGATGCGCCAGCTGAAGTGCGGGGCGAAAGTCGGGGCTGACGGCTTGCCGACGTTTTTGAGAAGCGTGGAGATGCAAATTAATGGTATCATTTCATCTACATGTAGAGGCTACTACCTTCGTATTGAGTCGGCCTACAATCGCCAAGATCATTGAATAAGTCGCAAGATCGCATAAACTGCCTGTTGTCTCAGCCTGAAGTCCGCCATTCGGACGCTGATAGCAGTGATCACTTCTGCAGCGACCTAATGACTTTCCTCCGCCCACGTAGATAGAAAAACTTCATCACCCTTGCTTCACGCATTGAGTGAAAAAAAATGCAGCCTGAGCGCAAAATAGGGCGAAGAAAGAGGTCCGTTGTCCGTCCTGGTGGCTCAGTTTGTCCGTCCTGGGTGGCTCAGTTGGTTAGAGCGCCTGCCTTCCGTTCCACCCACCTGTGGCAGGGTTGGTTCGAGTCGATTTAGGGCGCTCGCTATTTGCCCTTGACAGGTATGGTCTTGCGGTCGGTAGCAGCGGGTCGCGCTAAAGGTCAGTTGACGTGAGAGGGCAGGACGGACCGTACCGAGCATTGCGGCACGTTAAGCTTTCGTCACCAAATTCTGCCGTTGC